GATTCAGTGACTGGCATAATTGGGATGGGAGTGTCGGAGACAGTGCGATTGGCACAGGACAGAGTGGAGTTTAGGGCTGTTGTACATAGGGTCGCTATGAGTCGCAGGCAACTTGATGGCACATAACAACAACAACAAACAACTTACCTTTCTATTAAGTTATACATAGTAGTAAAATATACTATATGACATTGATTATTTATATTTATATCTCCTAGTATTTATGTTTTTGGGAAATAAAGCTATATAACAAAAATACATTAGAAACTTTTGTTTTCAAGACAACAAGAAAACTACAAAAGAAGGTGGATATTTAGTAGAAATTAATTTAGCAGAAAAGGGCAATGACTACTTAGAAGTCCAAAAAGAATATGCCTAAACTTTTTAAAAAATAACTGCAAAGCAGCAACTATTTTAAACTTTTTCAGCTCTGATGGTAAGAAGCTGTGCTGCAATCCCAAAGGCGTGTAGTCTGAATGCACCAGCTGCTCCGTGAGAGAAGGATGGGCACTCTCTTCCTATGTAATTAAATGCCTCTGAAAACCTGCTGGAGGGTCAGCTATGGGCCTGTTCCAACTCGACAGCACACAACAGTAACACCAACTTCTATAAGACAGTAAACAACAAACAATGGTAAAGGTGCAGAGATTGGAATCCTCTTACATCATTGGTGGGAATGTAAAATGGCACCAATTTCTATGGAGAGCAGCTTGATGTCTCCATTAAAAAAAAAAAGGAAGGAGAAATTTATTTTTATTTATAATCTCAACTGTTGTTTTTTTCTTTCCTTAAGTCAGGATTGACTCATAGCTGCCTTCCAGTGGGTTTTCAGAGGCAGTTAATAAGTTGCCGCAAATGACGGCAAATGTGTTTCTAAGCACCGTCGTCAATTTAAAAAGTGTGCGGCAACGTGTTAACCACACAGGAGACGACTGCCCATTTTTCTCCTGTGTAGCAGCTGGCAGATTCTAACTGCATTCTTTTAGCTGACAGTGGGTTTCCAGAGGCAGTAAACTGCATGGAAGGGGATCACCTATATTTCTCCTGAGGAGAAACTAGTAGATTCAAACTGCGTACCTTAGAGATTATAATGCAGGTTCTTACCATTAGGCCACCAGAGCAATCCAACCATATAGCCTAAAGAAATAAGACCTGTGACATAAACAGATATATGCATTCCCCTGTTCAAGCAGCATTATTTACAACAGCAAAAAGATGGAAACAATTCAAGTGTCCACCAACAAAAGAAGGGGTAACAAAAACTATTCCTAAAATGCAGTACTATGCAACACTAAAGAAAAATCAAGAATTCAAATAACACTGCAAATAATGGATAACTTTTAGAATGTATTATGCTGAGTTTACACATAAGTCAGTCATAAATGGATAAATATTGTATAACATAATTATACATGGTCTTCAGTGACTATGGATGACATAAGACAATGCCTTTGAGTTGTGGTGCTGGAAGAGTCTTGAACATACCATGGACTGCCAAGAAAACAAATAGGTCTGTTTTGGAGAGAGTGAAAACAAATATTTCCTTGGAAGTTAGGATTTTGAAACTCTGTCTGACATATTTGGGCATGTGGCCAGGAGGGACCAGTCCATGGAGAAGGACATCATGCATGGAAGGGGAAACACAGGAGAGGAAAATCTCAGATAAAATGGATTGATATAGTTACTAGGACAATTAGGGGGGGGAGGTAGGTGTGTTGGAGCCAGTGAGACTGGCTCAGGACAGGCTTCAGAGCTGTTGTACATATGGTTGCTATGAGTCAAAGGTGACTCAAAGGCACATAACAACAACATTATTCTAAGAAGCCAAGGAAGGGAACTCTGGTGGCCTAGTGGCATTACGCTGCTCTGTGATCTGGAAGGCATGGGGTTTGAATCCACCAGATGTTCTGCTGCTGAAGGAAGGGCAACCTCCTCCTGTGTCAGTTGTATTTCATTTGATGGTACACACCCACACATACACAAAGCCAAGGAAAGGTTTACAAGCAGAAAGAATCATTCTTAAATGGCTATCAGGGATGAGAGGAAGGGAAGAGCAAAAATTAGTAAATAGACAACAGACATATTTTAAGATGAGTGAAGGGAAAGGCCATACACAATGTGGGGATGATCAGCACTATAATAGTAAAAAGATAGAAAAAAGAAGGACAGAAGGTTTTATAGAAATCGGAATTATGCAGGGAGAAAGTGGTAAAACTGTGACTGCACTGAGAGTACTGCAACTGACAAAAAACAAAGTGTATGAATGTTAAAAAAATCAACAAAAATAGAAATATTTCAATTGAAATATAGTATATCAAGTTTGTAGCAATTTCACATATACACTCAATTTATAATTTTTAATTACTTCTAATGAGCAAAGGTGTCACTTTGAGAACACAAGTCATAGTACTTTCCAGCACTTAATATATGCATGTGGAAAACTGAACAACAACAACAAAAAAAGTACTGAAGAACTGACATACTGGAATTATGGTTTTGGTAAAGAATAGAATTTACTGTGAAGAATAAGTAAATCTATTTTGGAAGAAGTACAGCCAGAATGTCCCCTTAGAACTGTGAATGGTGAGACTTTTGTTTTGCTTACTTTAGACTTGTTATTAAGAAGGACTAATCCTTGGAGTGGGTGCTGATTGTTGATCCCAGTAAGACAAAATCACTGATAACTTCAATCTTTTCTCCATTTATCATGATGCTGCTTATCAGCCCAGTGGTGAAGATTTTTGCCTTCTTGAAGTTGAAGAGTAATCCATATGGAAGGTGTAGGTCTTCTGTACCAAGCATTTCGGGTCCTCTTCACTTTCAGTTAGCAAGATTGTGTCATCTGCATAATTCAGGTTGTCAATAAATCTTCCTTCTATCTGGATGCCACAGTCTTCTTCAGGGCCCAGTGTCTCTAATGATTTGCTTGGCATACAGATTGAATAGGTATGGAATGTATAGGATACATTCCTGATACACAACTTTCTTGATTTTACACTACGCAGTGTTTCCTTGTTCAGTTTGAACAACAGCTCCTTGGTCTAGGTATAGGTTGTTGTTGTTGTTGTTGTTGTTTTTATGTGCTGCTGAGTCACCTATGACCCATAGCAACCCTATGTATAGCAGCTCTGAAGCCTGCCCTGTCCTGAGCCAGTCTCACTAATTCCGACAACTCCCATTGCCCTAGTTACTGTATTGCCCTTATCCGAGGTCTTCCTCTCCTATGTTACCCTCCACCCTTCAGAGAATGATGTCCTTCTCCAAGGGCCAGTCTCTCCGGGCCATGTGCCCCAAATATGTGAGACGGAGCTTCAAAATCCTAGTCTCCAAGGAGAAACTTGGTTTCACCCTCTCCAAGAAAGACCTATTTGTTTTCTTGGCAGTGCTTGGTATGTTCAAGACTCTTCTCTAGCATCATAATTTGAAGGCATCAATTAATCTATTGCCATATTTAGTAATTGTCCAACTCCCTGATGAAGAGCAAATAATTTTGAAGACCATTATCTAGATTAGGTGTACTTTAGTCTCTAGACTGACATAGTTGCCTTTCAGTACTCTGGAGAGGTCCCTGATAGCAGAGGAGCATATTTTAAAAAGTTCTGTGATTCCATTGATACCAGCAGTCAAGAAATCAAAAGATGTATTGCAAAGGGAAAGTCTGCTGTCAGGAACATCTCCAAAATTCTGAGGTTTAATGATGTCACTTTAAAGATTAAGGTGTGCCTGATTCAGGCCATGGTCTTTTCAATCCCTTGCTATGCATCTGAGAGCTGGACAGTGGATAAGAATGATAGGCAAAATAATGCCTTTAAGTTGTAGTGTTAGAGAAGAGAACTGAATATTCCATGGGCTGAAAAAAGAGTAAGTAGATATATCTTGGAGAAAGTGCAGCCAGAGTGCTCCTTGGAGGGAAGGATGGTAAAGCTTTGTCTCAAACTTTGGGCATGTTGTCAGGAGAGGCTATTCCTTGTTAAGGGACATCATGCTTGGAAAGATCAACAAAGGAAAGAAAGATTCTCAACGAGATGAATTGATACAGTGATGGCAACAATGGGCTTAGGTATGTCAGAGATGACAGGGATGGCACAGGATGGAAAAGGGTTCAGATCTATTGTTCACAGAGTCGCTATGAGTTGTACTCAATTTGATGGTACATAACAATAATTCCTGAATATATCATGTTTTGTCATGTGACACATGTGATAAAGTATTCCTCTTTAAAAGTCAGTAAGAAAGAGAAAGACTTTCAACAAGATGGCTGCAACAATAGGTTGAAACACATCAATAACCGTGAGGGTGACACTGAATCTGGCAACATTCTGGTATACAGAGTTGTTGCTCTGAGTTATAATTGTACAGAACATGGTACCTTTACAACACGGAACTTAAAACAGAGCTCAAACTAGCCAATAATTATTCTTATTTTTAAAGATCTCAAAAAATTATTCTTTTTTTAAATCCCAAAACAGTTCTAAAAAGTTGAGTATGTATTATGCTACACATAAAATACCTCTGTTGTTGTTAAGTGTCATTGAGTTGCAGATGACTCATAGAGACCCTATGAACGAAAAACCTGAACGCTTGTATAACTTTCATCATTTCTCCAAGTTCACAGAGTTTCCGGAGGCAAGCTATTTTAAAAGTAATGTCACTCCTTTTAAATGGGGGGCTCCACCAAACACTGTCTACCATGAGTAACCATTATCTCATTTGACACATCAGTGTCACAGTGTTTAGCATCACAGCAACCACGAGTTACCTCTGTACAGCAAATGGACAGACCAGTGCTATACCACTTGTAAGAATGTTTGACCAGAAACAATTAAAACCAGATGCATTTTTAAATAGGAGGCAGAATAAAATCAACTCACACCTAATGGAGAGTAAATATTCCACCCTAATACTCACCAGAACCAGAAAACAAACCTCTGTTTAAAAACTGAAATTCAAATGCTGCTATTTGTCAGCTTTAGATAAGATAAACTTCCTACAATACTTACAGCAGCAATAGAAGGCTTCTTCCCATCCCCAGCAGGTGGGTGAGTGACATCTGCTCCCAAAAAGATCACTGGTTGCTGGAACACAGAAGGTCTTGACCACATTTTTTAAAGAAATAATTAATTAATTTAAAAATGTATTCATTTGTATATTTCACACTATTGCAACACAACCGCAAGCTGCTCAGAGAGCATCAAAGGCCTGAACAACTTAATTTTCCTGCATGAATCCCTAGTCAATAAAGTCAAGGATGTCACAGTGGGTCTATCCAATGTCATATTCAGAGAAGTTTGTATTGTTAGCAATGGTACCACTGGATGCAAAGGACAATTCCAAAACAGTCTTAAAGAGGATAAACTTTCTATATTATTCCATCTATTTTTATCAATATTTCTTGACTCTTAAATATGAAGGTTATAATATTTCTTAGAGAAAAAGAAAAAACCTAACTTAAATGTTAGACTGAAAGATTATAGTAGTCTTCTATTCTCTTTCTCAGGCCAAAGTATATTTATTTCCTAGATAGAAATTTGTTTTTGTTGTTGCTGTGGGCGCTCTCCTGAGCCAGTTTCACTGACTTCAACACAGCTACCTCC